CCTTATTAGAATTATAGTATAATCTACCCCTAAACCCGAAACCTTATACCGGGCTACTCCCTCGAAGAGCACAAGGAAGAGCGTGGCTGAGTTGAACCGACTGCTGGGATGTGCACAGGACAGGGGTTCTCAACCGTGTGCCGCTGAGGGCTGCTTTGTTCATGGTCGTCGCCGTAACAGCGCAGCTGTAGCATAGGTGTTAACTATCTAGCTATGAATACGTGTACTAAAATTTCCCTAAACCCCTAAACTCTATAGCTCCTAAACCCTAAACCTTAAACCCTAAACCCTAAACCCTACAGTGGTAATGGCAATGCACCTCCCGGCCCAAGCTCTTCAACTCTGTGACTACATGGCCCCAATATGGGGGTTTAGGATTTAGGGTTTAGGGGTTTAGGGTTTAGGGTTTAGGGTAATATTGGGGTTTCCGAAAATAAGGGACCCTAATATAGTACCCTAAATAGTAGGGTTCTTATTATAAGGACCCCAACATAAGGTACCCCCTAATGTTCGGAACAACCCAATATGAATCCCAAATCCATTAGCCCTTCCGGCACCCTCAACCCGAAATAAAGCCAAATCCTAAATCCCAGCACAGCAACTACACCCATGACCCCAAACCCTAAGCCCTAAACCGAAGCCCGACCTTAGTTTCGAGTATGTCCACACGGTTAAACTCGACATGATCCCCCGAACAAAGTCACACTTACACAAGCCCTGAGGCCTATAAGTAGACCAGCACTGCGTAACCCGGCTTAAACCCCAAACCCTATACCCTACTTGTGGCCGAAAAAACCCTTCCTTGTTGAGGAATAGAGACCAGAACAAGGAATCGTAGAAAGGTAGTCTTCTTCGGCTACATGTACACCCTATGCCCCAAGGCCATTGAAAGTAATCCCAGCGCTGACCATGCATGTTCCAACTTTCCCGGGGCTTTCGTCAGGGATCTTGTTTCATGTTTGTTATACTCCAAATCCGAGGGGGTGATAAATTATCGCCTTCTGTTATGGGTCTAAAGGGGCCTTCGACGTTTTCTGGAGTTCACTGCAAGAGATTCTGTTGGGATCAACCCCAGGCTCCAAACCCTCAACCTTCCGCCCTAACCCGATACCCTAAACTCCACACGTCCGAAACTCGAAACTGTATGAACCCCAAAACCCCAAACTTTAATCCCGAGACCCGGACCAGGACGATCCTCCCTGGCTGGTGGATCTCGATTTGAGTCAACTCTACTGGCCCATGTGCCCGCTGACGGAGGAGCCCTCGACCGCAGGGGGTTGCGGGTTGATGGCGGCAGGCCTCCGGGGGCTCTGGCGCTAGAGCTCCATACTGGTTTAGGGTATAGGGTTTAGGGTTACCTGTTGATGGACAAAACTCTGTATGGCCCAAATCTAGTATAGTACCATAAAACCCATAGTTTAGGTATATAGGGTCATGCAGGAGTTTGTCCATCAACCGTATGCCCTGAATAGTATATACTTCGGCCATAAAGTACTCCCTACGTAGGTACGTCAAGGCCCAAGTATATACTATATTGGTACATTGAGCCTGAGGTTAGGGCTTTAGCCGTGGGGTCTAGGGTGATACGGTTCCGGGGGTTGGGAGTTAGGGTTTGGGTTGGGGTTTTAAGGTTTCGTGTTTAGGATGTAGGGTTTAGGGTTTAGGGTTTTTGGTTTTAGGGTTTAGAGTTTTGGGGCTTTAGGGTTTGAGGGTTTAGGGTTTTAGGGTTTAGAGCTTTAGGGGTTTAGGGTTTTAAGGTTTCATTCAAGCTTACCGTTTTGCGGTTTGGGTTCCTGCCTTCCTGGATCAGTATCTAAACAATTCAACATTCTAAACCCCAAGCCGGAGCGACAAAGCAGACTTAAGGGACACGTCTTTGATTTTTACACGCTGCGCCGTCAAAAGACGCTGCGAAACTCGCTGGCCCTGCTGTGATGCACATATTTCTTCGATCTATCCTAAACCCCGGCAAAACCACGCCGCCACCAGGCTTGTTAAAACTGCGTGAAACCGGGAGATGCACTTTGGCATCGGGCTTCGTGATTTTTCTATCTACGGCTCGGTTGCAAGTAGTCCTTCTCACAGGACTTCAGTATGAACCTCCATAAACTCTTGCAATAACGGAGCCCCCTAAAGACACCCTTACGGAAAACTATAGTAGCCCTATACAAAAAACCCCTAAACCCTAAACCCCAAACCCTAAACCCCTAAACCCTAAACCCACAAACTCTTGTAATAACGGATCCCCCTAAACGAACCGTAGCCACCCATGTTCCGAAAGCCTGACCTTGACTAGCAGTCATCCCGCAACTGTTAGCCCGGGCACTCTGCCCTAAACCCTAAACCCTAAACCCTAAACCCTAAACCCTAAACCCTAAACCCTAACCTATAGTCTCCATTGTAGTCATTTTTTTGGTTAACGTAGGAACCTGATTAAGAAACCCTGGCCCTAGAACCCCAAAACAGTAGCATTCATAATATGAAGAACCCTAATGCAGGCCCAGGGTTTCTTAATCAGGTTCCTATAACACCCAAGTTCTACATTAGTTTAGGGTTTAGGGTATAGGGTTTAGGGTTTAGGGTTTAGGGTTTAGGTAGAGGATCCTAACCATAAAAATGGCGAACCAAAAAACGGAACTACAATGGAGACTGTAGGTAGTACATCCCACGAGACCCCGAACCTCGACGCGTTCCCCGAAGCCTATGCACTATCTCTTCTTTGCAAACCCTATAAATTGCAGCCTTAAGCCCCATGCAGGCTCTGAGCCCCCAGTGCATAACCTCTGAGGTGGCTTATAGATCTGTTAGAGAATCCTTCTACTAACCCTTATTATCCATACTCAGACCGGATATTGCGTCCAAGACTCTGAACCGCAGGAAAACAAGCCGAAGACGTTCACGGAAGCCTTGTTCCTCACCGTTCCTGGCGTAACCGGAGCCATGCTTACAGGTATGTTGGCCCTGATTGCTTCTGGGCTGCTGGGGAGTTTATGGCGTGCTACAGGTTTCACGGGGTTTTGCAGGTCCTTCTACGTGGGTCTGTAAATGGCCACTTTATTCAGAACCCAAAAAAAGAGGAACGGGTGGAGTTTTGTTTGGGCTCGGCCGTAGAACCCCTCGGCCCTCAGGACCTTCAGAGACTTGAGGGCTCGGGTGGACATACTCAAAATTACACAAATGAAGGATCAAGCCCGAAAAGCCGACAACCCTGAATCTATATATCTATATATCTATATCTCTATATCTCTACATGTCCCTAAATTCAACGCTAGACCCTGCCTAGATCCCGCTAGTGGGAAATTATGAGCATCCTCGACGAAGTCCTGGTAGACCTTGCGGCTTCAGGGATTCGGGTGTTCGCTATTCGCTATATATATATATATACATATATATGTTGTGAGCTTAAATTCAGTTATATTGTGTTGTATTACATTGTGCCATATTGCGGTATGTTGTATTACATGAGTTATATTGTACTACATTACATGGTCTTAATTATTTTGCACCATGGTTTGTTATGTCTTGTGTTATCTTGTATGTATTGTATTGTATTGTATTGCATCGCATTGTGTGCACCAGCAAAGGCTTTCACGAGCCGGCAGAGCTTTCGCAGCAAACACTTTGAATGCTTCTGGATGCTTGGTCGAAATTGGTTCCAAGGTCATCTACCTAGAACCTCCCTTACCTTTGTTATTTACATAACATACGTAAGAGTAGGGCCATATACCCCTAGTGGAGGGTACAAGGTAGACAGTTTAGCATATAAAGCTTATGGTTGAGGTTCGCCCCTTCTCCTCGTTACACTCTCATCCTGTGACTAAAACCCCAAATCGCCGCCACACCACGTTACAGTCTCATCCTGTGACTCAAACCCCAAATCCCCGCGACAGTGGTTGAGACCGTAGTTTCTACGCACATGAACAGCATCCCGGCACCTGGATCTGACCCTCACAAGATTTAGCTCCTTTGGCTGTGCCTTGGCACGGGGTGATATGGTGTTGGACGACATTCTGGGACGAACCTCTGTGGCCTCAAAGTGTCCTCGGAGACTCTTTCTGGTATCGTTTTGCTTTAGATATTCGCGCAAGGCCATGACCCAAGCCCCCGCGGGAACTAAGTCGGGTCGGTGGAGATAGCAGCAATAAGGTGGTTTCTGCAGGCCATAACGATGATTCTTTGTTTTGCCGTCCATGTCTAATGGTGTTGACTTTGATAGTGCTGCCGCTGGTGATGATGATGATGACGATGATGTTGATGATGTCGGTGATGATGATGATGATGTTGATGATGATGATGATGTTGATGATGATGATGATGTTGATGATGATGATGTTGATGATGATGATGATGATGATGGGGATGACGAAGACGATGATGATGATGATGATGATGATGCTCATGCTAACGGTATTTTTGTTGACGGCTGTGAAGAGAGGGCAGTCTGCTAGTGTTGCAACGTGTATGGCCCCTTTACGCCAAACCCGTATACAGATGTACGCGAAAGCTGGGTGCATGCTCACCCTGGAATGATAAGCTGCAGAACTTGGTGATACCCAAAGCTAAGTCAGACCATTCTGAGACCGAGCAAGACACACAACGGCCCTGCACCTCTACAGTCTGGACGCACAGTAGCGCTTCTCAGGGCAGCCCTGGTTTCCCGTAGCCATCGGCGGCAATCACAGCGAAGGATTTCAGGGCTTCAAGGGCTTAGGTCGCCAGACAGGTACCAATTGAGCTGGCATCTAGGCTGCGCAAAATCTCTAAGCCACCTGCGACACTCTGCGACAAACGCGTAGCCCGCCCCTGCCAGGCCCTGGACCTACCTAAAACACTCAATATAATTATAAGACTTGAAGAAGCCACGAACCTCAAGACCGAAATGATCCTTGGAGGCTGTAGGCTTATTTGCGTCCGGGTGCCCTAATGCCAAAGAAGCCCGCAAGAAAGGAACCTGCACAACGTGGCGATCTTCTCATGGCCGATTCTTCTCTTCTTCCACGGGTCACAAGGCCCGCTGGAAGGTTTAGGGTTTAGGGTTTAGGGTTTAGGCTTAGCGTTTGCAGCCTGGGGATGGCTAGGGCTGAGGGTATGGCATGCCATGGTGTGGAGCGGTATGTTACGGTATGGCATGGTAATGGTATGGCATGGTAATGGTACGGTATGGCATGGTATGGTGTGGCGTGGTCTGGTTTGGTTTGGTATGGTTTCTTGTATTTCAATGTATGGTAAACTGTGTAGTATACTGTATGGTATACAGTATTTGGTATACTGCATGGTACAATATAGTATCATAGAGTATCATATAGCATATTACAGCTTAGCATCGCATAGCATAGCATAGTACAGTATAGTACAGGACAGTACAGTAGAGCACAGTAGAGTATGGCATAGCACGGCATGGCATGGTATAGTATAGTATGATATAGCAGAGTGTACTATAGTGTGGTATAGCTGTCGCAGTGCTAGTTGCAGCTACAGTTGTAGCCATAGGTTTAGATGTCATGCAGTGATAGATGGTGCGTTGTAGTTTAGCCCTTGTCGTCTAATCTAGGCTTGTCTTGTCTTGACTGAGTTAGTCCAGTGTCGTCTTGTCTAGCGTAGCCTAGTCCGGTACAGCGTAGTCCAGTCTTGCGGGGCTTTGAGTTCACAGTGTAGGATTGTCGGCATTGGCTTTCGTTTTGGTTTCTTGGAGATAATCACAGACTTTGTGCAGAGACTATCCAGAACAGCACAGGTACCCTGTAGGTTCGACAGACCGTGGAACGAGCATGCCAGTTACTCCTGCAAGACATGTCTAGCCCCACTTCGCAGCTCGCGCAAAAAAGACCAGGAAGAGCTGCGTGCGGACATGCTGAGAGGTTTGTCTCCCGAACTCCTCGTAAAGGTGTATGCGGGAGCTTCAAGCACCAAAAAAAACCCAAAGCCTTGAAGCTCGAACGTGGTTCTGTGAGGTTGGGTTGGGGTCGGCATTCCGTTGGTCGTCATTGTCTCGGCCCTCCCTATCACGACCTATGCCATTGGCCGCATCGCACGCCTCCTCCGCTACTACCTCTTCGTTGGGAAGGCGCTGCAAAGAGCTTCCAGGGTTGTTGTTTAGAGGTTAGGGTTGTCTTTTTGGGGTTTAGGGCTCCAGCTAGATGAGGGTTGCATCAGAGAACAAGGTTCTTACAAAGGTGTCTTTTTGGGGTTTAAAATTTAGGGTTTGGGCTCGGGTTGACGGTTTATTTAAACCTTGTATGGCACGCAGTCTGGAAATCAGACTGAAGATAATATAGGGGCCTTAATAATTAGAATACGGTTTGGGGGCCCATTGTACAGTTATTGTATAAGAAACCCCAGAATAGTACAGGTAATTACTCAGGCCCCTAGTTTGAGCCCAGAGGTGAAACCTCCCTTTCCTGGAGTTCTTGGCTGAGCTCAGGGCCTAGGGAAGCGAGAGGGCTCTTCACAGCTGGAGCCATACTATAGGGCCCTAAAAATTACCAACACTATTTTTTTTTGGGCGGGGTCCTTATTCTAATCAGAGTATATTGAACCCCATGCAAAACCCTATTCCACAAAGTAGGGCCCCTATATCACCACTCTGAGTGCTTTGGTTTTGGGAAGCATGCGGGTGTGGAGGCCGTACGGATCCTTCGCGCCACGGTGAGGTTGGGGAGGAAGGGCGATGTCAACGGCTCTTTGACTCAGCTGGAGGCGGGCGTGCCAAAAACCATGTCGAGGCTGAGTTTGGTTAAATATTCGAGGGTGTAGGACCTCGGGTTTAAAGCGGACTACAGAATATGGGGTGACGACCCCCGAATGGGGCGCATGAGGGCGTGTGGCATCTCTGTAGAAGGGGTCGTAGAGTTGTTTCCGAATGTCCTGTTGCCCGTACAAGTCTCTCCAGCGTAAACCCGAGCCCCGAACCCCAAGGCCGAAATCGGTTCCCCTAAGCCCAAAGGGTCCAAAGTACCTATATAGTAGAATGTAGGGTTTCTATATTAGGAATCCTTATTATGCTTTGGGAAAGTATCCCCCATAACAGTACCCAGGATCCTTTGGGAAGGGTTTAGGATTTAGGGTGGGAGCGTAGCTTGGAGAACGCTTCGGCTTGGGTTGGGCTTCCTGCAGGTGACGCCGCCTCCGTACTTGTGGAGTTTCCATGCTGGCATGTATGCATTCATCTGTATGCCGGACTATGCGCCGCTGCAGTGGCATCCCTTCACGATTACATCTGGTAAGGATGATGCAACCGTGAACTTTCTCGTGGCAGGTGCGGTTGTCGTGATGCAAGGGGTGACTCGAAGGGGCATGCATTCTTATCCCTGTAGCCCTAAACCCTAAACCCTTAACCTTATCCCTGTAGCCCTAAACCCTGAACCCGAAACCTTATCCCTGTAGCCCTAAACCCTAAACCCTAAAACCCTGAAGCCCTAAACCCAAAACCCTAAACCCCCTAAACCCTAAACCTGTACTTTCGTTTAGTTCGGCTGCCATGGCGGCAAGTCGGGCCACCTTTGGGGTTTGCAATTGGTCTTTGACTTAAGGAATGGAAAAGCGACAAAGTAAAGGCGATAATCTAATAAAATAAGGTTAGTAAGGTTGAAACTAAGCTAAACTACTGAATCGAATGCGAAGCTTTATCTGTATCTTGCCGAACCTGTCTCGATCCCTGCTGCCCTCCCTGCATGTCGGAGATGCACCAGGTGTGGGCGACTGGAGCAATGAAGTGGCACGGCGCTGCCTGAAGGGTGACTCGGTAAGCCACTAGAATGTTGTATTTTCCTCATGGGGTTTAAGACGATCCTATTACGTACCCTACACCTTCCTAAACTTCCTCAACCCTAGACCCCCTAAACTCCCTAAACTCCCTAAACTCCCTAGACTCCCTAAACTCCCTAAACCCCCTAAACTCCCTAAACTCCCTAAACTCCCTAAACTCCCTAAACTCCCTGAACCCTAGACCCCAGGTGAGTTGCCCCGCTTGGCCTTGGATGGGCCTTTCGTTTCCCCCACACAGTCAGCCATGGACAAGGAGGTCCTTGTCGCTATCGGCGCCTTTCAGCTGCAGACCCCTTAAGTTAAGGACGAAAAGAGCCCTAAAAGGGTTTTAGGGGTCATATACCATATAGGGATTCATAGTAATAAGGGTATAGGGCCCCTACTTGTAAGGTTCTTTTCGTAAGAGGCACGACAGGGTTCTCTAATGGGGTCCCCTTCAAGGGTACTATGGGGTTCTAGAATAGGGTCCCCTTTAAAGGGGTTTAGGGCTAGTCTAAAAAAAGAGAAGTCTTAGAATATTCATGAAACGGCACGATCCACAGTCTTGCCCCACATAATGCGAGGAAATCTGCTCAGGAGCTGTATCCTACAGAGTCTCTAAGGGTCTGGGTAGGAGGTCTCTCTGGGTGATCTTGGCAGGAGTCGCAAGGAAAGTCCTTACCCTTGTCATGCGTTTGCTGCCAAGCCAAGAAAACCCAAAACCAAAAAAAACAAAACGTAGGTAAGTTACCATATAATACAGAAACCATACTATTTGCTATAGATCCCTGTTATGGTAACCTAAACCCAAAACCCAACCCCAAACCCTAAACCCTTAACCCTTAACCGCCTAACCGCCTTAACCCTGAACCCTTAAACCCTTAAACCCTAAACCCTAAACCCTTAACCCTTAACCGCCTTAACCCTTAACCCTAGACCCTTAAACCCTAAACCCTAAACCCTAAACCCTAAACCGGCTATTCCCAGGCTGGGGTCGGTGTCACGCCGTTCCTCTCCTTGCTCTCCACCTTTTTGGTGCAGCTTCTTATTGGCTGTAAACTCAACTTTTCAACTTTTGGGGCTCTTATAAGGTAGTCGATTCTGAAAGTTNNTTTCCTTGGGTTTTGGGCCAGTGAGGCTTTCAGGAACCGATGCATCCTCGCTACTCGAGGAGCGGCTCGAGGAACAAGTTCTACCAGAAGTCTCCCTACCGTAACCCACCAGAACCTACTTTTTGTTGAGGGTCCCTATAAATCCCATATTTTATTAGGGTTTACAATAAGAACCTACAACAAAGTGGGTTTTGGTAGGTTAAGGTCTAGCCGTAAGTGGGGGTATATGGCCCCTGGTAGTAGGGGGCTTGGGCCCTATATAATAGTAGATGGAGGGTCTAGATAGAAAGATGACTTAGTCCCAAAGGGTCCAAAGTACCTATATAGTAGAATGTAGGGCTTCTATATTAGGAATCCTTATTATGCTTTGGGGAAGTATCCCCCATAACAGTACCTAGGACCCTTTGGGAATGTGTTTAATTTTGAGGCGAGGCTCCGAGTTCATAATTTTGCTGTGCCCGCGCTTGTCCTCCTCTTCCATCTCCCTCCCCTTGCGCAGGGTTCAGGGTTTAGGGTTTAGGGTTTAGGGTTTAGGGTCCTAATAATCATATACTCTCCCAAATAGTAACCTACCTAATCCCTATCTAAAACCTAAGTACCTAATTATTGTGTCCTGTGGACCCTTAGGGTTGCCAGGCCCATTTCTACTGGGTCACGCGGGATCCGAGTGAGTTCATCTTCGGCGCGCCCTTGCTGCGGAACTGGCTCTCCCACCGACCCCTGCACGCCAAGATCGTGGTGCACCTTTACACCACGTCCAGATGCCCTGAGAAGGCCCCATCTCAACCCACCAGAACCCTACTTTTGTTTTAGGGCCCCTGTAAATCCCATATTAGGGTTTCTAATAAGAACCTACAAAAAATTGGGTTTTGGTAGGTTAAGGTATACCCTAAACCCAAAAACCCTAAACCCGAAAGCCTTAAACCCTAAACCCCAAACCTGAAAGCCTGAAGCCCCTAAAGCCCTAAACCCTAAACCCTAAACCCAGATGCCCTGAGAAGGACCTGCCGAGCTTCCTTTTCAAGGAATGCCTCAAGCGACCTCCGGCTCTATGAGGTTTCAGGGCCCTTGAGGGTTTAGGATTTAGGGTTCTTTGTTCTTTGGGTTTAGGGTTTAGGGCTCTTTGGGTTTAGGGTTTAGGGCTCTTTGGGTTTAGGGTTTAGGGTTTGGGGTTCTTTGGGTTCAGGGTTTAGGGTTTAGGGCTCTTTGGGTTTAGGGTTCAGGGTTTAGGCTTCAGGGCCCTTGAG